CTTTCAATCTCGAATCCACAACGGCTCTGGAATCGTTGGCCGGTCCCATCATGGCCGTTCCACTCGGATGGTACAACGTGGTAGACAAGTGTTTAAGGCTACATTCCCAATATTCATCGGTACCTGGCTTCGTGTGTTGACATCCGGGAATGTTAAGATAATATAACGTCATGTTGTACTTCTTCAGAGCCTCGGTGTTTAATAAAGCCTTAGCGATATCCACGGATTTCAACAACATTTTGAAATCTTCCTTCTCGACGAAATAATTCGCATGGATCTTAACAGGATCGGCCGGATTAGTGTTACGCAACTCGAGAAAACCTCGGCTCAAAGGTCTTATCAATATAGGACAAATAGAGATCAAGTTCGTTTCCATTACATCCTTTTGTATTTCTTGCAAAATGTCATTGTCCATATTGAATGATTGAAATAAATATAATAATCCGTTGCTGTATCGTTGATACGGTACGAACATTAATTGAACATTCGGATATTTCGAATGAGGATCGTTCACGTTCACGAAGCCGTTGAGATCGAGCGGAAGAACGCGTAATGGGCCAGTATTGAATTCCAAATAATCATAAATATCGTCTAACTTATTCTTCTCGCTAGGAGAAGATGTCACCGATTCATTCGAATAGGAGTAGTATAATCCTAACCATATCGCGTGATCTTGAAGATTCCTCCCGACAGGCAGATCGACAAGAGTGGATATTCCCATTTCTTTCAAATGCTCCTTTGGCCCGATTCCCGAGAGCATCAATATCTGAGGACTGGCGATACTTCCCGCCGACAAAATCACTTCCTTCGTCGCTCTCACATTCACCGATTTGTTGTTGCTCAAAGTGATTCGTACACCGACCGCCCGTTTACCCTCGAACAGAATCTTGTCCACTCTGCTCGACATCATTACGTACAGATTCTTTCTGTTTTTGATCGGGGAGAGGAAAGCTTTTGCACAATTTTGCCGTTGCCCATTGTCGAGAGTACCCATCGCTCTTCCAAATCCGATAAAACGATCGTTGTTCAATGGTTCGAGAATATCGTATCCAGCCTCGTGCATGGCTTCCAACATTATATTCTGCAAGTCTGTTGCAGTGTAATTGTAGTGTCTAATTTTTATAGGACCGTCTGATCCGCAATAATCGGTACCATGCTCGGCTATGTATTCGGATGAACAGCTCGACGATTTTCTAAAGTATGGAAGTACTTGTTCGTAATTCCATCCAGGATTTCCTAAATTTGCCCAAGTGTCGTAGTCTCTTTTGTTGCCAAGGATGTACAACATGGCGTTGATAACGGAACTTCCACCAAGGGTTTTACCTTTCGACCATCTGCATCGTTTGTCGACTTGGCTCAAGCAGGCGTCCTTTAGATATTCGATCTTTATACAGAAATGATTATAATTAGATTAGAAGAATTTAAAATTATCTTAAAATGATCAGATTACACGATTTATTCCGTACAAATATATTGTAATTTATATACCTCTCTCAAATTATTGAAATTAATCATTGAAATAAAATTTGTATCGTATATTTTTTTCAAGAGCAAGAAAACATACATACACTATTCTTTTTTAAATAATTATTAAAATTAGTTTATTTACTTTTACCTTATAAGCATAATCCTGTGACAAGCCCAAGTTTTTGATGAAGAAAGCAGGTGGTGCGGTTTCGGGTAAAGGATATCCTCCTCTTTCGATTAACAGAACCTTCCAATTCTCCACTTCCGTTAATCTGCGAGCCAAAACAGATCCCGCGGTTCCACCACCAACGATCACAAAATCGAATTCCATGCTCGATCTTAAAACATCATTTACGCGATCTCTGGGATATTCATCCGGGTTGTTCAGTTTACAACGGGACGCTATTAACGTTTGTATCAAGAAAGTAAATGTGGAGGCTGGTGACGATTGGAATGACGATGTACAAGTTCTGCTCATACACGATTNTATATATAAGAATATATATTCAATTAATGTTTTTCTGTGTGAAGGAAATATTTAAAAGTTATTTTAACTCTCATCATTTAGGTAAATAGTCTAATCTTATTTAAAAAAAAAAAATTTCGAAATGCAAGGTTAATATACATTATTATTGAAATAATTATTGATTATAATAGAGACAATTATTGAGATAATATGTTAATTCATATAATGCTATGAATATTTATAGATATCAAGTAGTAATATGAAAGATATTTAGATATTATCTTATCTATCGATAAAATAAAATGCATTTCAATGTAAAACGAAATTACAGTAGATTTAAAAAAATTGATATATCTTTGGTATTTACTTTAAAAAAGTAAGGTATATTTTTTTATATGTTACTATATTATTATGATGCGATGAGATATTTGAAAAGTAGAGCTAAACGATAATACAATTTCTTATTATTCGCATTTAAATACATTTATGATAATTTCAAGATACTTATAGTTTATAGGAGCGTGATGCTCAATATAATGTCACATAAATAATGGTTTGAAATTGTTAATGAAATTAGTGAAAAAAATTAGCTTAATTTGAATTCAAATTAGATTTGATTTTAAAGAAAATGAAATATCGAATAATATTCTCTCTTTTTGATTTTATATCTATAAAGTTATAAATATATTTATTTCGTTTCATTTTCTTTTTTATTATTATAAAACTAACCAATATAATGTATGAAATTTTTTGTTATCTAAACATTTTTATGTCCTAATTCATAAAATTCATAAAGATTTTATGATAAAGATTCTATACATTATCAAATATATTATTTCGATTCGTTATTCAATTTTTTTCTATGCATTATGCTTTAAAATATAAATTACTTGCAAAAATATTTTCTTTTGATTTAACTTTGATTTGTGACGAAACAAAGACAATTTGAAATTTTTGGAAATTTAAAAAAGAATAGAGAGAGAAAAGTATCATTTTTTTACTAAATTGTCTTATTATGATTCATGCTATACATAAAAATTTAAATGTTAGTTGAATATTAAGTTGAATAGTTGAAGAAATTTTAATAATTTGACAAAGAAAATCAAGTAAAGAAATAATGTTTCGCTAGTATCTCATATCCATTTCCCAATTTCTGATTTCTACGTTTGAGAACAAAATTGAGAATAAAATAAATTGTTCTCTTATTGTTGTAATTGTCTCTTATATTTCACCATCATTATTATAAATCTCGTGCAATTTTTTGCAAATGATTGCAACAAAATCGATTTTACGTTATAAGAAAAGAACTCATGAATACCAGTATGTGTTTGATTTCGACGAATAAAAATATAATTTTGAATTACACTTACTTCGTATATAATCGTCCTACAGAAAGATTCTAAATGTTCAATTCTGTGGAACAACTTGTAGAAACAACTCGTAGAAACAGCAGAAATAAATTGATCAAATTGTTGTAAGTACACTCAGAATAATAGTCATTCACAACATGACGCATACGATTATATAACGCCTTCGAAATTGATTTATTAACGTGTATAAGTATAATGACGTATTATAGTTAGATAAATTGAAAGATAATGATAAGAAAACTCGATTATTTCACTTTTAAATTATTAATAATAAATTTTTAAAATTGCAGTGAAACAATTTTGATTTTCTCGAAAACTTATAAGGATCGAGTTCACCATATAACGCGAAAGATTTTTCTTGCAGGCATAATCGATAAAAAAAGGAGAGATCGTCGACCCTTCGATATTTCTTTCATCATTTTACAAATTCATAGACGATATTCTTCCGAGGCGTTAAATTACGATCCACGTCCGTGACCTGGATTTAAACAAACGATATAAATATAAATTAATTGAAAGTAAATGGGCCCTCTTATACATTCGTAACATCAAATTCGGTGACAGAGACACGACAAATTTTTCTTAGTTGGAATGTACAGGGTGTGTAAAAAAAAAACAATAAGTAACCATCGTTCTACGTTCCCTGTGGATCGATGGATTATTTTATTAAAAAAAAAATATTTTTTGCCTCAAATCAGATCCTTTTTCAAGCTTCTTTTTATCGAATTGACTACGATAAATGACACGAAATCACGGCCTTATTCCTCTTGTACACCCTGTACAATGTTGCTACGAAATAAAAGTCACGGACCACGCTACGACACGCGGATTTGCGTAATTTAAAAAGTCGAATTTCTTCGTGCGAGTTCTCTCTATATTGGGGCGAGACAGGTGTGTTTCTGTATTCTCACCAGACCGGAGAAACCGCCTCGGCCCCCGATTAATTTCACGCGGACGTAATCGTTGCTGTTTTGCATCGGTGCGATTCACAGAATTTTATTATATGCCCGAGACTTTTACTCCTCCTTGTAAAAGCTTCGCGTGAAAACTTGCTCGAGTGGAATTGCCTGCGATAAAAAGAGAGGAAAAAAAAGAACAAGAAAGAAGAACTTATACACCTGTAGCTTTATTTTCTAAGCCTGGCCGAACGTTTCCACTTACTCGTACGTACGTATATATATATATATTCGTACATGCGCATTTTCCAACATTTTCAACATATT